CTGTACACACTAATACTCATAACTTTTTGACTCAAAAACATTTGTTAAAAACATAAAACTTTATAACTGGAGGCATTTTCCTTACATTTTGCACTAGTAATTCGTACATGAAATAAAGTATGACAGTCAAATAGTAATGAACAATCTGACTGGATCAATTACAATATTAATAGCTTGGTTTAGTACTTGGACATCTGCCCATCTCTGCAGAATAGGTTGGAAATGCAAACTTGGATACTGAGAATACAAGCTTAAGCTCTGGAATCATAATCATTTCTCCACTGAGTTAAAAACTTTTGGAATATTATGCTGATGATGTGTTGTATGCTATTACATACTTTAAGTTTTTGTTTTTAAATTTTGTTGTTATGCATGTGGATATGAAAAAATACCTTTAATATGGTTATACATGTGAAATACAATATTTGATTCTACATTATCCATTATAATACAATAATATTTCTCTAATTCATAACACATAATTTATGAATAATAAATAATGAAATGCAAAGGGGTCTTTCAACCCATCAAAAGAGGTCCTCACTCCCAACATTCTTTAACAAACGCAAAGTCATTCTCTAAATCTGGCTCTGACCCCCCCAAATATTCATCAACTCTTTTCTGAAACATGAAGTTGTAGTTTGATAATAAATTAAGAAATTCTCTATTTTCTTATTACAACATATTTGTTAGAATGGGCAAAATGAAAATCTATTATTATGTCTACCAACCAACCACTTGAATATTTAATCCTCTCAGTGAATACAATAATTAACATTTTTTTTCATTTAAAATCTTTTCTCACATCACCTAAAAAAAATCTGAATAATTAGTGCAAATTACATTAGGTTTAAAATCTTTGAAAATGTGTACAATAACTTGTTATATGAGGCTTTTTTTATATCTTAGTTTATCAACTGAACATTTTTAATAATTATAGTTCACAATTCTCACCATGTTGAGCTGCTTATAAGACAAAAAAAAAAGGTATGGTTAAGGTTATCCAAATTTAAATGTTTTATGATTATTACTGAAAGGGATAAGCAGTTAAGTATTCAAGCACAAAAGTAACCTCCCACAGATTTATCCACATTGCAATAGGTACTATACAAAAACTTCTACAACATACTTGTATGAAAAAAAATAAAAAATTAAGTACAGTACCTTTTGAATAAATCAAGTGCCCTATGAAATTACTACTTCAAATAAAGTCACAGTGCACTGGGAAAAAAGCCCTTTACATTATTCCTCAAAAAAAAAAAAAAGACTGCCTCAAATGCAAAACAAGTTCACAGATAGACCATTTTTTCTTTTAACAGAAACACAGAGCATGAAATATACATTATAAATCAGTATATTTTGTAATTAGCTCATAATAACCAAAGCAATGAAAAAAATTAGGAGAACATTTTGCTAAAAGAACACACCTAACAAAATACTTTTGTAAACAGATTTTCCTGCAAGATTCTATTAAAAGTTTAACATTTCTTTTGAGTCTCTCTGAATAAACTGGGTAAGTTTAAAAACCTCTTTAAGTTTTATGTTTTGAAGTAAGAGACTTTCATAAAATCACTTAACTGCAACATCTTTCTTGACCTTTTCCTGTTATAAATCTTAGTATTCTTCATTACCCCCAGCAAATTTCACATTTTTCAAAACTATATTTATCAATAATTTATTTCTCCCTACTCATAATTTAGTAATGTACATTGGATCAGAAAATAATGTTTTAGAAGGAATACAGTTCCTTCTTGGTCAGTTTTTAAAGAATCATAGATCTACAATTTTCTTGTCTTTTTCAATTTTAAGTCTGCAATCCTAAAATTGGGGAAAAGACACACACACACATACAGCAAGCAAAATAAAATCAAAAGTAAGGACTGCATTAAAATATTTTGTAATAAATATAAAAATGTATTAAATAAGCATAAAGAAGTAAAAATTAAGGAGTATTTGTTGAAAGTTTCCAATAAGTATTGTTAATAAGGTTGTTTAAACAACTTGGCACTACTTTTATGTGGATGAACACCTTGTCGCATATAAAGGCTTGTGTAAAGTCTGAAAATTGATAGTTACAGTGGACTTAATGGGTGGTGGTTGGAAGTTATATTAGTTAGTTTAGATAACTTGTTTGGGCTTTTATAACTCTATACTAGTATAATTTAGCTACTGTACTACTAATTAAGTTAAATTAGTGCTTAATAACTACTATAATGGTGGCTGTAATGCCAACCTCAGGAGGTACATTTATCTGATATACCCCCCAAGTGGTAGTACCTCATTTCATTTTTTCTTTTACTTTGGAGAGCAGCCACCTTTCCACAACTGTCTACAGGCAGTGAAGGGTGATACAGATGTGGGACATTGTGAGCTCAAGTACCCACATCTTGCTTTTCTAGCTTTTGATGATTTTATTCGACTTTTTATTAATTTATTCATGTGAAAATGGCAAACAGAGGTTAAGTATGATAGATGGTGTATCCCCAACGTGGGTCCTACTTCTGCAGTCACCTCCAAAACCCAGGGCACATTTTATATACCACATTATAGCCTGTACCTTTGGGATTCTTTTAATTTATGTGGCATCTTTAATTTAATTTTGTTTGGGCCTGTTTTGTTCATTTAAATTTATATATTTATTGGGAGAGATTTTCTTTTTCTTAGGTACTTCAAACAAAACACTCTCCATAGAAATACCTACTATCTACATACCACATCTTTGCTGACAACAAGTCAATTTCTAACAAACAAATAACATCTCCTCCTCTTCTATATTTTCTCTAAAGAGCAGTATTAAAAGTATATATACACAAATTATCCAGTACTAATTCATGTATAGGAGTTATGTGTTTTTACACACATAAAATAAGTGGCAAAGTCCAGCTGGTAACAGGAGAATATTCAATCCACTAAAGTTGTCAGTCAAACAAAACATACATCCATCAAAACAGTAATGAAGCAATATTATTTAATTAATATCATACTGAAAGTAAAAAGTAGTAAGTTTTGTATAAACACTTCATTAGTGATGATTCTAAAAGAGTTCTATAATACAGCTTTGTTTTATAGACACTTAAACACTTTCATTTCATTAACATACTGTTCATTTAATCTCATCATGGCTGAAAAAAAAATGTATTTATCTCTTTGAACATATGTGTACACTTGGATCATGTAAGGGCACTAGGGTGAATTTCACCCCTAGTCTCTTTCAAATTATACAATGTCATAATGAGACCTACATGTACATCATCTTTACTAAATAACCCTATATTTGGACACACAATCCTCACCAAGACATCATGTTTCAACCCCAGCATATAGACCCCAGGGCCCTTCTCTGCATATACATGCATATTGCTCTAATAAAACATTATAGGTAAATTTTTCTGTTGTAAAAAATTTATAATATACCTCACTCACCTTATGAAGATGTACATATTTAATAAAACCACAAAGTACTAATCCACATAAAGCTTACTGGTAAATAACCACTATTTCAGATAAAGTTTTTCTGTTTCTAAATAATTTACATTCTTTAATAATAAACCTTCATAATCCTTCCAAAATAAATTATCATAGGTTTCATTCAATACTTAAATTTCATCTGCTACAGTGCATGACATTTCACATTTTCTCAAATACTGACTGCAGCCAGTTGCCAAGATAGTGCAAGTATGAATTAACAGTTCGTCTAACCCTAACACATTACCTTCTATTATTATTCATGATTATATCATGAAACTTCTCCCCTACTCAAAAGAAGTATATATATATATATATATATACACACACACAACAGTAGTGGAAGCTCGCATCTTACAAGTTTAACAAGAGAATCAAGATTTCCTGAAAAATAAAAGGGTTTAGTTCTTGCTTTTCTTAGGGTTTGCAAGAACAATCTTGCAGGATAAATGAGCCCTATGGTCCATTATTATATAAAGGATTAAGCCTCACTGTAAATGATTATATTATATATTTCGATATTTTAACAAACATTCTACCCATATAGTAACTTTAAACGAAGATTTAATTTGCCTTTACACTTACAGTACTTTTACTAAATAAGATATGCATGTTTTACGTGTATATTTATATGTATACATATTAAAATGAATAATAATACAATTGATAAAGTAAGCAGTCAAATCTTGAAACCTATAAATATACTGTAACTTACACATACAGTTCAACTTCTATTCTAGTTTTCTAAATCCCTGTTCTGAATTTATAGTTATTCTTCTTAATTAATTAAGCGTAACTTTGTTTTCGGTCAATAAACTTTTTTGGCTAGATTTATATTATCCAACAGATTTATAAAGTTCATTAAGTCTAACTAATTATCCTTACAGTTACACTTACAAGTTACACTCACTCACTGACTTAGCCACTAGTTACAATCACACGAGTCACAGATCCGGTGAAAAGGGCATTTTAAATTTAATTACATGTAACCAAAAAACGCATAACGACTGTACAAGAATGATCGACGTGTGCTATATATCTTCTATAGAAAACATATGCTTCGAGTTTTTATAACAGTAAGACCCAGTTAAATTTTACTCAACAAGGTATATCTATGAGCCGCGTAACACAAACACGGTAACACTAACAGTTGTAATTACACCGGTTAAAGTAACCTTAGTTAAGCCTATCACCGACAGGTTTCTGCCGGTAAAATAAGCCCACACCCAGCGAGCTTTAGCAAGAGATACACTAACCAGTCAAGCATTAGGTTCCTGAAAGATGCCCCTGGTAGGCTACACAAGTTTAGACTTCATATAGTTTGGAAGTGACCTTAAATATATTGTATACACTATCTACTTCAATGAGAATTGAACTTAAATATATTTTTAATAGTAGTAATCTCTCGCTGCTCCTTCAAAATGGCGGAGTAGTTTAACATCTTGTTTAAGTTGCTATGCGGTATTGCTACCCTCGAATTTCCAGAAAATGTGTTCAATCGTTCTAACTTCTACTATTCATTGAAACAGACTTACTTTTGACGACTCGCTCCGTAGTCGACAATTTGGTGTTATTTGCAGACATTTTTAAAGTCTCTGATATCTCACTTTACAACAGACATAAACAGACTAAATAACTGAAACCTAGTTCACGACGTATATAATACAATATCACGAGCACCACAAATGGCGTAAACAACAAATTTCTGTTTGCATCCTGCATTGCGCATAATTTTTCGCGCATACAACCTCAATCCGTGTGCTCGGAAAAGGAAACATTTGATTGGACAACATTAATCGATGTCATCCTCCTAGTGCTTGTACTCTAAAAGTTAGATTAAAAATATTAATATAACCTTTTATGAACGCTGAAGGCTAGCGAAGCATTGGACAGCCAATGGGGCTAATATTCTCGATAAAAATCACGCTAGAATGCAGATGTCCTTTTTCTGTTGTATATTATTAGCATTTATGCACTACGAAGTATGGGAATAAACATCTGCAGTCTAGCGTGATTTTCATCAGGAACATCCGGCTTAATAATATAAACTTTTCTAAATGTTATTACCATCACTCGTTATTAATGCAATTAAAGTTTTGTTTTTCATTAATGAATGCTCAAGTTTAAATCGAAATGACATTTGGGCTAAATTAGGTTAACCCCTTGAATCGTGACAAAACTTTACAAATTTCAAAGACTGCTACGCCCTCTCGTAGTTAAAATGACAAACCACTAGGTCTGTAACATGTACATACGACTAATCCAACTTTTTAGGTGTTTTTTCTATGCGGCTTATCAAAACGAAATAATAATAACCAGATTTGATATTACATATATATAATGAAGGTCAGTACTTTAGTAATGTAACATTTTATTAGAAGTGTAAAGTAAATATTTAGCTACGTTACTATATATGAATTTATATTATCTGTAATTGGAAATTTAATTTATATTGTCTATTGTATATTTTAATACATCACTTGTTTACATTTGCACTTAAGCAAGATCAGTTATACAAGGTTGCTTATTTCAGTCTGCACAACCATGAGATTCACATCAAACTTAGTTGTTTTTTTAACACAAAGCTACACAATGGACTGTCTTGCGCTCTGTCCACGGCAGGGAATTGAACCCTAGATTTTAGCATTGTTAGTTCAGAAACTTATCCCTGAACAATCGGGGGACCAAACTTGGTTGAAAGTACAACAAAGTTATATTAGTAGATCAAACTAGTTGATATCTAAAAGCCTCCGGTGGGGGGGGGGGTAGTTTTTGTTTGTAATGTTCAGTTTTCAGTTGAGGTACAAGTTGACCCTGTGTTAAAGCTCAAGATTTCAAAACTAGTGAGCCGGATTTGACTTCGTGCGACACCGCAAAATATTCCCTGCACCCTAAGCTGTGGGTGCATTATAAGAGTGACACCCAATCTCTCTTTACTTTTTTGCACATATCTACCTCGCATCTGTGCATAGGTAAATAACAGTATTAAGTATTAGATTGTTGGCATGAAGAACTGAAAAAAATTCTCAAATAAAAGACGATATACCAAAATCGAAAATATTTTTAAAACTTTGATTAGAACTCTAGAAATATATAAACGTTTGAATCAACATATCATTACACATATTAATTAACTTATATTTTATTGGTTTTTAATATTCTTCACAAATAAAGTTTTTAATATATTGTATTAACAATTTCAGGAATGATATTCTAAAAATAGTATAACTGTAAGGGTTGTTGTTTTTTATTATGAAAAAAAGGCTCAGATGCATCGTAAAAAAGAAATTAAGTTAATTTTTTACGAAATTTTTATTTCAGTGTGTTAAAGTAAAATTTACTTTAATTCAAATGTTTATACATTTTAAATGTCACAGAATTTTGTATGGGTCCAACCCAGTCTCCACTTTTTTATACTGTCTGTTGTATGTCCATGTAACTACTTCGCCCCCTTTAAATGGGTCTTCCCTAAACTTGGTATGGAGGTTTATTGTGTCCATGGTGAAATACATACAAATTTTTAATTTTGCACTTTGCGTTTTTTATGGGTGTTTTTGTGTTTTTACCACTACGTCGCCCCCTGTAAATGGATCTTCACCAAATTTGGCATGAATGCTTGTTGTGTCCATGCGGAGATATATGCAAACTTACGGTTTCAGATTTTGTGTATTGCGGTTTTTATAGGCGTCATTAATCATGAATTTACATAACTTCCATCCAGGGGACGAGTACTCCAGCTAGTATAAAAAATTACGAGTTTTGGCTGAGATTTATTAGTTATTTATATATCTAATCATATTAACTACTGAGCCTGTTGTTTCTAGTGTACCTGGAAAATTATATATACATATGTGTGCTAGTCTAATGATGAACAATACAACCACAAAAATGACGAATAACAATATATTTGTTGAACGTTCGGAATATACATATTCCATCTTCAGCAACTTCCTACAGTAAACACAAGACTGCAATTACAAATAAAAATCCAAATATTAAATATAAGTTCATGTACTAGGATAAACACTTGTAAAGGCAATGTTAAGACTCAAAGGAGAGAGAATTTTCAAAACCAGCGAGTGAGCTTGGATACAGACCCACACTAAATGATTTTGTAAATGTATTTATACAGATAATGAGAAAATAATTAAAACAAGTTCAACTCAATAAAACTTGGGGTATTTTTTAAGCTAGGTGTATTTGTTTAATAAGTAGATTCTTTAATCAGGAACTCCATGTTTGTGCGGCCCCTAGCTAAAACTTTAAAGTCCGTTGAAGAGATTCTATGTCCACTAGTTTGACTGTGTGTGGATAGGAAAGGTGCAGTGAGATTATAAACGACCTGTTCTATAATAAATACCTATGTGTTCTTGAAAACGTACAGCTTAAATTGCACTTGGTTTTACCAATGTAGGTAGCTTTGCAACTACCGTACGTACATGAGTAAATGACCCATAAACAAAAAGGGGTTGGAATGCAGTCTTCAATATGTAAAAAAAATATTTGATATGCTGGCTTAAAGGTAGTTCTCACTTGAATTTATATGTAGTACATGTGTATTTACATGTGAATTTAGTGAGATGATTTTTTTTAAAGAATTAAGTACTTTTACTTAAGTAAGAGTTCCCGGTGGGACAGAGGCAAGTCTACGGATTTACAACACTAAAATCAGGGCTCGATTCCCCTCGGTGGATACAGCAGATAGCCTGATGTGGCTTTGTCATAAAACACACACACATACCTAAGTAAGTAAGACATAAATATACGGAGCACTTATTCACCTTTTGCTTTCTTATTTCTGTTCAGTAATCCGTTTAATATTCTATTTGTCTCATGTGGTCTGCGGATTCCCTTCAGGGGTTCAGTGTAAAGGTTGCACAAGGGAAGCGGTAGCAGAGTGTATCGATCTCATTTTAATCCGCAAAAATAAATATCCAGAAGGTCCGCAAACTAAAAGGTTTGAGAACCTCGGCACTACACCAATAAACATTTTGTACTTGTTTTAGGACGATTTTCTGAAAACATGATATTTCTAGGCACGTTTTGTTGTTCAATTTATATTTTATGCGTGTAATCCCTTTTACGAAGCTATTTTAATTTGTATATTTATTATCATTCTTTGGTTTTTGTTTAAGAAAATGCAGAATAAATGCTATTAACTTTATATTGACAAGCTTTTAGTAGATTCAAACATTTATAATATTCTTTACTCTATATAATTTCAAGTGTTTTAGAATTAACATACCTCTTCCACACGCACATGCACATACTCCACATAAAGCTGCATTTCTTACTTTACGATATTGCAAAGTAGCAACACCTCTTTTACAGGGGCTTACATCAACATCTGCATGCTTTAAACTTGTTTCTAAAAGAAAGATTTGCACATAAAAACTTTTTATGATTCGAGCACTTTTAGAATTCGTTTCTTTCCCTTTCAGAGAAGGACTTTTGGTCTAAAGTGCTTGATCTATTGGGTTTCTCCTATTCAATAAAAAATACATTTCAGATAATCTAAATGGCTGTGCTGCTAGTAGTTTAATATATTATTTTTAACTTGTTTGATGTTTTATATTTCCTAACTTTAGCCAAGAATTCTTTGGTATTGAACAAAGAGTAAAAATAAGTCTTGCGCGGAAATTACCTGTGGCCTTTTCCAAGAACTATTCTTATAATTTACATTAAAATTATCATACAAAATATAAAATATCAATAATAAAACCCTTAATCTATATGCTAATATTGGGATTAAAACTATGCCCAAGCACGCTTATCTTTCTTGTGTTAAAATATTTATAATGCTAACCATCTATAATCACATATTAAAGGTGTTTTGCCAAATTAATGGTTGAGAATACGAATGTGTTTTGTTTTATTTTTTGTAACGACTTTTGAAAGGTTTTTATTTCGTAGAATATCTTAATTAAACTTTTATAATTAACTATATACGTGTACTATCATATCTACAGAATTTCGTTCAAGGTTACTGCTTTGGTATTCCTAAAACAATTAAACTATATCTACAGCATTCTGATCTTTTGGTTTGCTTTTATTTTCGTATAAAATCTTTATTTTGTGTTCTAAATGATTAGAAAATAATTTTAATTGTTCTTCGAATTGAAGCGGTGTATTATATACCACCATGCAAAGTCCTAGTAGCTCTTGTTTTTGTTGTTATTATATATATATGCGTGTGTGTGTGCGGGTGGATGAGTTTCTCAAATGTGTTTATATGCGTGTGTTTATGGGTATTAAAACTTCTGTTTGTGGTCTAACTCGCCATCATTTATCAACTTTCTCATCACATTGTGGTGTCTGCTTTAATTAAAAACAAACAAAGAGGCAATGAAAACATCCCGGCGTTTTTCGGGAAGTTACGAATCGATACAATTAACTATTTGGTGTTCTTTTCTCTAATAAGGTTTGATTTATTTGTTTTTTGGTTTGTTTTGAATTTCGCGCAAAGCTACACGAGGGCTATTTGCGCTAGCCGTCCCTAATTTAACAGTGTAAGACTAGAGGGAAGGCAACCAGTCATCACCACCCACCGCCAACTCTTGGGCTAAACTTTTACCAACGAATAGTGGGATTGATCGTTACATCATAATGCCCCAACGGCTGAAAGGACAAGCATGTTTGGTGGGACGGGAATTCGAACCCGCAACCCTCAGATTGCGAGTCGAGCGCCCTAACCA